TGTTTCTTTTTCTAACATCAAATATAAATTATTTCCTATTTTCTTATATCATCTTCCTAAATTTGAAAATATTATTTTTATTATCATCCCGTCTTGATTTTCATGTCTTTTCGTCTACTGCGAATTCTTCTTTATTCATTATAAATTATGTATTATATTATGTTGTAATCTATATTCAAGGCAATTTATTTCTAGTTTTAACATAAATATAACTTTTCTTTGTGCTAATATTGATTTATTACATACTCCTGCTAAAATATTTTGATTACAATGAACCAAGAGCCACCCTCTAATTCATCTTATAACTCTTGGAATTTGCTATTAATTGAAGCGATGAACAATACGATTTCCAAGAAAGAGATGGAAAGGAATCGCGGAATTATTTACCCTTAATCCATTAGGTTAAACAAAGAAGATAGGAATATTGGGAATGTTTCTTCTAATCAATGACAACAACATACTTCAAAATCAGGTAATTTGATTGTGCCATTTGAGAGAATTGAGTTGGTGATTTCTAGGGATGTCGCGAAGGAACACCACGAAACACGATCTCAAAATCGACCTACTTCCAGGTTGATTCGAGGTGAGCTACTTACTGGGGTTTATTCCCCTGTGGAAGGCGTACCTCCCACCGGAATTTCATCCCAAATGGATGTCCAGGTCGCCGGCGACAGGAATTTCGGTGACTCCAAGGTTATTCGAATGAAAGTTGTGAATAGGGGGAAAATGAAATCGATTCTAATACTCAAAATGTTCATCTCACTGAAATATCTAATTAGTTATATTAATATTACAATCCTATGAGAAACCATGGGTAATAAATATCAGATATGCAACACAGGGGTGAGATAGGAAAAGGCAAAGCTGGGGAGGCTATTCTAAGATCGAAAATTCAACAAACTACAGGAATAGCTCAACTAAGTGAAGTGATATATGTATAGAGTTCTTCACATTTTTCCTTTGGAGTGGAAATAATCGATAACACAATCCTCAAGGAGAATCAATCGAAGACAGGTATGCAGGCTGAATACACTGACCAAAGTAAGGGAGTCAATATACAGGATCAACAACAAAACTACAATGAGCAAAAGGGCAAGCAACAACATTCAGGTATGCGATATGATTATAATGATCTAAATGAGAAAGCTAACATACATGAACAACATCAAAAATACAATGGGAAAAGAGAGAAGGAACAACACTCGAGTAAGTATCCTCTACTCAATTCTATACAAAAGCAAAATTATAATTAAGAAAGTGTTGGCAATGTGCATGAAAATGCCATGGGAAATTTAGATGATGGTTCTTGTAATTATGTACAGAAGGATATAGTGTATAAGATTGGGAATAAAAAAGAGAAAGATAAAAGTAAAGGGGATGATGATCAGGGGCAAACTAATAAATGGAATGTGCGGGAGAATAAGGAACAAAACAAGTACTATAGAGACTTTCCTAAAATCTCTAGCAATTTTGATAAACAAAATCCTCCACGTTTAATTACTTCCTAACCTACAACCAGCGAAAAAATACCAGAACACAACAATACTAAAAACCACCAAACCAACCAGCAAGATAAAATCCCTGAACTTGCCCCTTACACTGTTGTTTAGACATTGGCTATATCAAGACACATTCATGAAGCTCAAAACCCCACTATCGTTCTAAAAACCCCCCCTTGATAGACTACTAAAAAAGAAAAGCCAACAGATATATTTGATATGCATGATTTGATACATACTTTAACTGTTTATTGTAAATATACTTTGGTGGTGAAATTTAGTAAACTGTGCCTAAAATGGAACTCATTAGGAAGATCATTATTAAACAAACCCAACTAAGTGGTGGTAGTGGGGGGTTAATATAGCTTACTACAATGCTAGGAATGTGTTTATTGCTCTTCAAAATGAGATAGACTATAACACTGTTTGGACTAAACAAAGGAGGAGTATTGAGGGAAAACTTATGAGAATACAAGCTTGGACAACATTCTTTACTCTAGAAGAAGAAACTCCCATTGTACCTGTTTGGATTCTCCTACCAGGACTACCCTGGCATTCTTCAAAAACCCCTTCCTTATTCCTTTTAGAATATGTGGGCAAGGTGTAATATTTGGACACTGCCTCCATTAAAAGATATAGAGCTTGAATGTCCTAGGTTAAAATGCAAATTAACTTGACTAAAACTAGGCCAAGACATGTGTGGGTTGGTCTAGACAATGATGATGATACTATAGGTATTTGGAAACCTGTGGAGTATGAAAACATTCGACCCTACTGTGAATACTACAGACACAAAGGCTATGATATAGATGAATGCAGATCAGAGATGAGGGATGAGGAGCATATACAAAGAATGGAAAAAGAAAAAGAAAAAAAAGACAATAACAAGGAACAACAAAATAACAAAGGAAAGGTGAATTTTCATGCAAGGACCAAGGAGAATGAAGAGAAAAGAAATCAAAATAATAATGATAAGAAGAAGCAAAAAGAAACATAACAGCAAATGGAAAAGGAATGGCACACACAAAGGAAGAAGAATAACAAATCATAGGAAGAAAAAGGCACCAAGACAGCGTGGAAACCAGTCCCTGCACCAAACAAGCTAGCAAGTGAACAATTTCAACTCAGCAAACAAGTATTCTTAATAATTTTAATCATAATTCTTTCACTAACTTGTCAATGCACAAAAATAAAGAAGGAAACCAAGAGGAGCACCAAGACAGCAATAAGACAAAATCACAGGGAAACACAACTAGAAATACCACCATAACAAGATCATATGATCAAATTCCAACCTTCAAAGGTTTAAGTATCATAGCTATTCAACCTAACACTTTTGATGTCCTGAATAAGATTGATGAAGTTGTGGGAGGTATTGATGGGGGCTGCTAGGAGGAAACCACTAACTTACAGGAAGGGGTTACCAAAGTGGGGAGTTTGCCTCAAGTCTGCATGCAGGGGTGGACACAAACAATAGTCCATACTTTAGAGCCTCTAATAACTCTAGGAATAAGCAATAGAAGGACGAATAACAACAGATTCAACTACAGGTGTAGGCTGGAAGTAGCAAACATCAAAAATATGGACAAAATAAGGAAAATAGCAAAATAAAAATGAGGATAATGAGAAAAAGGACAAGGTTAACAAGAAAAAAGATAAGGGGAAGCATATTGATACTTGTACTTCTGAAAACACTTCCAAGAGAAAAAATAAGCACAACAAACAAAAAAGGCATGCTGCTAAAAAGAGGCATAGTATGCAACAAAACAGTTGAGATGAGCAGGCACAGGGAATAAGGGAGGAATCATGCAAAAAAATTTGTTGGATAGCCCCCTCTTCAGGCTAGATACATGTCACCACCCACAGCTGAACCACCTTATAAAAGGGCAACGGTTTTCTCAAGTTAAAACTTTACCTTTGATTAATGAGTATGTTGTGAATATTTTTGAAGATGAATTTTATGAGGGCAAATATTATCTAGACGATCTGGTTGAGGATGAAGAGACTAGTGAGGCTCTGATTAAAGCCTATAGTCCTTTAAAAGATCAGGCTGTATAGGATGAGATTCAACAAGTTTCAAAAAGTCAAGGCTTATCTCCGAGAGGGTTCCAACATGACAGATTTCAGTTCAACAATAAAGATATCAACACTGTCACAGCTGGCAGACCAAATACTAGATTATTCTCCTCTAGGTCTTCCCAATGATCAGTACAATCATTTGGAATGTTAGAGGGAACAACACTCAAGGTGTGTGGGAGAGACTAAAAAATGCTCAGGAAACTCCACAAATTATAAATTATCAATATTTTGGAACATTTTTCAGATAGTGTACATGTGCAAAATTTCAAAGTTCAATTGAATATGGAAAATGCTACTAGTACTGTAATGGTAATATTTAGGTTTTTTGGAGCACTGATATTGACTGTAATATTCTTGATAAAGATGAACAGCAAATCACATGTGACATAAAACACAATGAGTTATAGAGGCAGTTCATTACTAATTTTATCTACAAAATGTAAGGAATATCTGAGGAGACCTCTTTGGAATAAGATGCTTCAGCAAGCCAATGTGGATACCAAACCTTGGTGTTCAGTAGGTGATTTCAATGTTATAACTTCAGTAGATGAAAAATTTGAAGCGGCACCTTACAATACGAGGAAAATCATGGATTTTGTATCCGTTATTAAAGCATGTGGCCTTCTGGACATTGCTTTCAGTGGCAACAAATTCATATGGTCCAATAAGAGAGGTATTAATCACACAATCTGGAAAAGACTTGACAAGGACATGGTTAATGATTTTTTGCTTGAAAATATGCCTCAAACCACTATTAATCATTTGTTTTCTATAGGAGTTGATCATTGTCCTCATTTAATGGAAATGGTTTCCAAAGAAATAAATCACATCAAGTATTTCAAATTCCTTAATTGTTTGGTGGAAAACCCTCTTTTCATGGAAAATGTGCAGACTTGTTGGGATAGAGATGTGGATGGTTGGTATATGGAGATTTCATCAGAAATTGAAAAGGTTGTTTAACACTCTTACTGCATGGTCAAGGAAAGAGTTTGGGGATATTTTTCCAAATGTTTAATTGTATGAGGAACAAGCATACAAGGCGGAAGAGAATTATATTCTTCACCAAAGTGATTCTAACAGAAGTGCCTTACATTAGATTAATGCTAAATATATCAAGTTCTCAAGTTTGAGGATACTATATTGAAACAAAAAAATCAATTACAGTGGTTCAAAGATGGCGACACAAATTCTACATACTTCCATTCAATTATCAAAGGAAGAAGAAGAAAATGATTTATGCACAAGATTATCAGTGAAGATGGGGAATGGATACATGGTGAGGATGATATTTCTCAAACAAGTTGTGCTCATTTTGAAAAGATTTTCATAGGTGAGGAAAAGATAACTAATGAAGATACTTTGTAATGCCTTCCAAGGATGGTCAGCCAAGAACAAAATACTCAACTTATCAGTCTACACAAAATGGAGGAGCTTAAAAGTGTGATCTTATCTATGAATCCTAATTCCGCAGCTGGTCTTGATTGTATAAATGGTTACTTTTTTCAGAAGTGTTGGCACATTATCAACGATGACTTAGTGGGAGTTGTTAAGGCCTTCTTTAGTGGGCAAATGATTCCTAAGTATTTCTCCCATTCTTGTGTTGTTCTACTTCCTAAAGTTACTAATCCAAACAAGCTAACTGAGTTCATGACTATATGTATGAGGAACTTCACTAGAAAGATTATATCTAAATTAGTGAGTACAAGACTTAGCTGTATTCTCCCTTCTTTGATTTATTCCAATCAATTCGGGTTTGTTAATGGTAGAAGTATTTCTGAGAACATAATGCTTGTTCAGGAAATCATCCACCATATTAAGAAACCCATTATTGGGAGTAATGGCATCATAAAGCTAGACATGCCAAAGGCGTATGAAAGGGTTTCTTGGTCATACATTTGCTTTGTTCTAAGGAAAATGGGGTTTGCTGAAATATTCATAGATATGGTTTGGAGAATCATGGACAACAATTGGTATTCAATCATCAACGGTAAGAGGTATGGCTTCTTTCATTGCACAAGAAATCTCAAGAAAGGTGACCCCTTATCCCCTGCCCTATTTATTCTAGGTGAAGAAGTGTTATCTAGGTCACTTAATACGTTACACTATCATCCGGACTATTATGGCTTCTGTATGGAGAAGAGGAGTCCTCAAGTAAATCACTTGATCTTTGCTGATTATAATACTCTTCACTTCAAGATAGTATAAAACTATGAAGCTTTTAATAAAAACCCTAAATGAGTATGAAGAGACTTCCGGACAACTCATCAATTAAGACAAGAGTCATTTTATGCTACACTCTAATGCTTTCAGTAGCACAAGAGATTGAATTCAAAGACTTACTGGTTTCAAACTAAAGCAGTGTCTTGTTACTTACCTAGGCTGCCCTCTATTTGTTTGTAGGCGTAGGAATATATATTTCTCTGATCTTGTTAACAAAGATGAATACAAAATTACTTGATGGCTAACCAAAACACTCAGTTATGAAGGCAAAGCATTAATTACAAAGAATGTGTTACATGCAATACCTATACACTTACTGACTGAAGTAACTCCTGCATCCATTGTGCTTAAATAGATCCAAATGCTGATGGCAGATTTCTTCTAGGGATGGATGAATGGGAGAAAAAGATATCACTAGGCATCATGAATGATCTCAGCTTTCCTTCTTATGAAGGGGGAGTAGGCATGAGAAATATAAAGGATATTTGTATGGCCTTTCAATTCAAACAATGGTGGATTTTCAAAACCAAAAAAACCTTGTGGGGTAAATTTTTGAGAGTAAAATATTGCCAAACATCAAACCTTGTTAGCAAAAAGTGGGATACAAGAGATTCATTGACATGGAAGAACATGTAAATAAACTGGTATCATGTGGAACAACATATTGGTAGCTTCAGGCTGGAAATTGTTCTTTTTGGTGGGAGATTTGGCTTGAAAATAGCCCACTAACACAATTTTCAACCAATAGTAACAGATTTAACAATGTAACAGTGGCTAAATTTTTGGAAGAAGGGAATTCGAACTGGAACAATTTTATAGAACAAGCAGCAGCTAGTCAATGCTCCTAAATCATTGCCACAAAAATTTCCCCTTAACGTTACCTCCATGATGAATCAGTCTGGAAGATCAACAATTATGGCAAATTTAATTGTTCATCATCTTGGGAGGATATAATGGAAAAGAGGGTAAAGATTAAGTTTAATTCTTTGTTATGGCATAAAACATTTCTTTTAAATCTTCTTTTCTTTTATGGAGGACCCTAAGGGGTAAACTCCCCACTAATGAAAAATTAACTAACTTTGGCATTGAGCCATCAAAGTGTGTTTGTTGCCTATATAATGCAGGCATGGACAAAATCCAACACATCTTCATTTCAGGACAATTTGCATCCAAAGTTTGGAGAAGTTTTGTAGCTACAGTAGGGGTCCAGCCTGACTGCCATTCACTACAGCAGATGCTCCAATAGTGGTGGTCTGGAAAAACCACCAATGCAACCCACAAAATGATTCTATAAACGACTCATATACTCATATGTTGGAACTTATGGAAGAACAGGTGCGCATGCAAATATGGTAGTAAAATGACAAATATCATCCGGGTGAAATATGTAATTTACAAGTACTGCGACAAGATGTTGAGCATAGAGTTTCCTCATATCAAATGGCCAGCTAATTGGAGTGCTTTGATCAAGAAAGGTGAGGGATGTGTTCAAGATATCAAGGTACGTTTTGTAGACTGGAGTAAGCCCCCAGATCAGTGGATCCAGGTAAACACTGAAAGTAGTGCGCTTACAAATCAGGGTAGGTTGGGTGCAGGAGGCATTTTAAAAGATAAAGATGGACAGTTGCTGATGGCCTTCGCAACAACTCTCGGTGAAGGAACAAAAAATAAATCAGAGATTGAGGCTGCCATTTTTTGTTTGACTTGTGCATTGGAGATTGGCTACAGGAATATTTTATTGGAACTTTATGCACAATTGGTTGTGAAAAGGAAAACCAAAAAGCAGCCCCTCGATGGGACTTCATAACTCAGCTAGGCAGGCTGCAGAATCTTCTCAACCAGACCAAAAACTTCAAAATGTACACATGTTTTTAGGGAAGCAATCTAGGTTGTTGACGCACTGTCCAAAAAAATCCATTAAACAGCCAATCCTCACGTATATTTCAGCCACCAACAATTACATAAAGAAGCAAGGGAATAGTATCAAATAGACTTACTGGAAATGCCAAGTTTTAGGAGGACGAAAACCAAGAAAATAATATAATCTATGTGAATTATATTATCTTTTCAGCTTAGCTGTAATTTTAATGATTATAGCTTCTTTGAATAGGTTAGGATTGTTTTATATTTCTGCAAATGTAAAGGAAGAGTCTCCCTCGTTTATGTTTCCTAGATTCTATGTATGGAGAGGAGTCCTATTTTCTAAGTACTTAGTATTTTTGATTCATCTTTTGTGTAAGGGGGGGAGGGAACTTCCTATTTTGAAAAGTTGACTCCAAGTCATCATACGTTGGAGGTTAGGTTTATGCCCCCCTCCATGTATTTTGCTTTGTTATTACTTTTAAGGCTTTGGGTGTGTCGCAACTCCTACCCCTCCACGGGTAATTTAACTAAAAAAAAACCAAAATACAAAAACCCTAACATTAAACACTAAATGATAGATATTATGACTCAAATCCTTAAACCCAAACTGTAAGACCTAAAAAACAACCTAAAGCC